AAAACCACAAACGACTTGATCTAGCAAAACAGCCAAACACGGGTATTTTTTTTTGAGTCCTAGTTTAAAATGTTAAATTTTTTTGTTGGTCAAAAAAAAGTTGAATTTTGTCGGACGGTGTATTACGAAATAACTATTTACTTGAACTTTATAATTTTTATTAAATATTTATTTATCCAATAAAGGATCAATAATTTCTGTATTTAAAATATATACCATCTTAGACAATAATTATTTGATACCTACAAATAAAAATTATTTGGTTCAAGTAAATATTATTTGGTTCAAATAAAAATTATTTGGTTCAAATAAAAATTATTTGGTTCAAGTAAATATTATTTGGTTCAAATAAAAATTACACCGAAAAAAAAAAGTTCTCAAATTTAGAGGATTCCTCTTCTTTTGCAGCAACTTTTCCTTTTTTATATGGGCACTAAAGTTTTCATATCTAATTGAGAGGATTTTCCTCTTTTATATTTTGAGAGGAATAATTTCAAATAAAGATTTATTCATCTTGTTTCAAACTTACGTCAAATGTCAACCTTCTTTACAGGGTTAAAAGAAATTTATGATTTAATTTACTCGTTATTACTCGGATTAAGTAATTTATAATGAAAGGAACCATTTTTGGAGAAAAAATATAGACGGCAAAAACACGAGCTGAGTTTTTATACAATAAAGTACCAAAGATTTTCAGGTTGTTAAAAATGTTTTTAGTTTTTGTTCATTTTAAAATAAAGTGCTCAGTATTCAAGTGAAAAAAAGTTAATGGATTATTTAAATCAAAGTAAATATATTTTTAAAATAGTGTAGAGGTCAAATTGATGAAATAATCAATTCTGATTTGAATATTATTAAATTCTAACCCTAGAAAAAATAGAGGTTAAACAGATCGCATTCTTGATAAATTATAATAAATTTATCACAGTTTTTAATATGAATAGAAATAATTTTTTATACATTAAAACCTTAATTTTCAGTAAAAAATTTGTTAATTAAATAATTAATGTAGAAAGTCCAATTTCAGATAACAGATTTTTCAGCTCGTTGTCCATTTTATTTTGAACTGTCACTTTTCAAACAGTTTGAAGATGCGCGCAACAAAACAAAATGAAGCTATAAAAATCTTTTTTACAGCATAAATTTGTTTCATTTTGAGAGGAATAATTTCAATTATAGAAAAAAAATCTTAAATGCAAATGAATAAATTCAATCAAAGAGAAAATATTAAAAGTTATCATTTAATAAAAATATTCTCAAATAAAGAAGAAAAATCCTCCTTTTTGTAGATGAATATTCGTATATTGAAAATAAAATGTAAAAGTAATTTATGAGCGGAATTTTCTTCTCATTTGGAGATTTTATTTTTTTCGGTGTATTTGGTTCAAGTAAATATTATTTGGTTCAATATTATTTAGTCAAGTAATTAATTATTTGAATCAAATAAATTTTTGTTTTTAATATAAGGATTAAAAAATGAATGTAAAGACCTTAAAGGTGTAAAAATAATAATATATAAAAAAAAATTATAGAAAAAAATAGTTTAAATTAATGAAAAAAAAAAATTGATGGAAAAAAGAAAACAATGAGTTTCTTATTAATTAAGAATAAAATAAAGCCGTGAATGCAATTATATAGAACAATATCATCGTGTTTCGTGTGATTCGTGAGAATAAAATTAGAATAGTCGAGTCGCTTGATTTACGTTGATTCTTGATTCGTAAACTGATTCAATTACTGTGATAATTGCAGGCAAAACTATATATATATATAAACATATAAAGGGATTAAGGATGAATTATATAAGTTTTAGTGCAACGGACCTATATAGTCACCTTTCCTTCTCTTTCGATTTTCTATATATATATTCTTCGCGCGCTTTACAAAACTTTCTTTATCATTCTATTGTTCTTGTTTCTGCATTATCTCTTTCTCCTGATATATATATATATAAAGCCGTGAAGGGGGGTTGTTTTTGGCGTTCGAAGCGCCACTTGGGGGTAAGACCTGAAACTTCCCTCTCTCTATATCTGAACACGGACAGTGTGCCCTGATCCGCGGCACTGTTATAATGTCGGCACATTAATAAAAAAAAAAAAAAAAAACAATGCGTGAATCATGAATAAAACAGTGATTAAATACTCGCGATTATTTTTCGTGATACGTGGGTAAGAGATGCTGTTTTTTTTCTCAAATTTAAAAATTATACAAGGATTATTATTTTTTTAAGTATAAAAAATTTATGTTTATTATTAATAATTATAATTTAAATTAAAAATTATATTTTTTTCTAATAAAAAAAAAACATCGTTCATTTTTTTTTCGTTTAAATTAGATATAAATTTTATCACAGAAAAAAAAAACCCCCAGTTCAGTGGAATCATTGGAAATGAATTGTGATTGCTTGGAAATTACTCAAATCTCGCAGCGTCACGTGGTTGTTGAAGATTAAAATCTTTCTTTTTAAATTTGAAACTATCGAAAAATTACTAATAAAAAAAAATAATTTATTATCAATATTCGATATTAATAACAGTAGTGTAATAATTATTTTTATTATAAGCAATTATTTATTATAATAGGGCAAAAAAAGAAAGAAAAGCCCTTTTCGTACAAAACAGTACTAAATTATTATTATTATTATTATTATTATTATTATTATTATTATTATTATTATTCTAACAGAAATATTACCCGAAAAAAAACTGAATTTTTTATAAAATTATTTTTGGTTCTATCAAAAATTAATAAAAATTAATAATAATAATAGTAACAATAATAATAATTAAAAGTGAAAACGCGCCGAAATAAAATTAACTGATTGGATTTTGTCAGCAAGAGGCTTCGACTGTTATTTAATGTCATTTTTTTTTTTTTCTATACTTCCTCCACTATGTTTCATAATAGGATAAAAATAAAAATCATGCACATAAAAATATAATAGGATGAAAATAAAATTGAAGCACGAACCACCATTTTCTTAATATTAAACATTGTGTTAATGAAAAATAAATTGATATGAAATGCTTTAAAACTAAGCGGACATTATTGCAATAAATTTTTTTATCCAATTAATAAAATATATACATAATAAAAATATATTAATATAAAATAATAAAATACTAAATAAATTTGAATTAGCAAGAATTTTTTTCACTAAAAATTTAGTGGAAATATCTATTACATTTTTTGAATTAGTGAACAAATTCTATTTATTCCAATATAATTCTAATTTTAGAGATTAATTAATAATTTAAATAATAATATATTTTAGAATAACAAATTCTAGAATTCTTTTTTCACAATATTTTTTTTTATTATTTTTTTATGTTCAATTTTTGTTTTGACTATTAAAATTAATATTTCATGTAAAATAACTACATTGAAAAAAATTAATATCTTTAAAAATATTTTTGAATAATAAAAATTTTTTTATCAAGAGACTGTCAAGCGAAAATTTTCAGCTTAAGTGAAGAGTAAAAGTTTTGATGAACGTTTTTATTTTTATATGAAGAAAAACATTGAGATACAAGAGATGATATATTGTCTTATTTACGTGACTTTTTACAATGACTTTTGGCACTTGAGACTTGAGAAAATGTAATATAAAAATTGCTATCGATGAAGAAAAAAAATTTGTTTACACATTTTAGTAGAAATTTTATGGAAAATAAAATATTTCAATTTTTGTTTTTCTATATATTACTACTCGATCATTTGCAGGAGAAAATAATTTAAAAAAATTAATTTTGACGAAATTAATAATACGTCACATTTTTTCTGATAATAAAAATATTTTTCATTATCAATCATACAAAATATCAAAACAAGTTTTTCTCATTTCGAATATTTTATACAATATATTTTGTCGAGATTTTTGAAAAATATTGTTCGAAAAAAAATTTAAAGAATCCGTATAAACAATATAAATTAAAAACTACAAAACAAGATAAAAAAAAATCTTTTATTTCTCCAACAATAAATAGGAAGTTAAAAAGTTTTTAAATTAAAAAAAAAAAACAATAGAAACTCTGAATACAAATCGAGAGCAATTTTGGGATATTTTCGTCAACAATAAAAATTATTGAATTAATTAAAATTTTTTATTGAAAATACTGAAAAAATTCATATTTTAATTAAAAAAAAAAAAATTTGTTATTTTAAGAAAAATAGAAAAAATCGTACAAAATTTTCTTCAATTTTTTTTTAGTTTCTTTTTTTATTAAATGAATTTACCATCGAATTTACAGTGAAAAGATAAATGAATGAAAATTGTAATTCGAAAAAAATATTGCCTTTTCATTTATACCAAGTGATTTATAATTATAAGTCCATAATTTAATAAAGTGTAAAGGGATTCAATTTAATGCAATAATTCGATATTAATGTAAAGATAACTAATTTTACTCAGCGATTGGAAAACGTTTGCATAAATCACATATATTCATATACTGATAGTATACATCAAGCGTCGTGGATAATAAAATCATAAATATCTAATGGATATAGAAAGTTCCCGAGTTTGGAAAAAAAAACTTTCAAGTTGTTTTCAAATTAAAATATCAAAAAAAAAAGAAATTTTAAATCAAACAAGAAAGTTTACTTTTCAAAAGTCAAATTGAAATTTAAATGCCCTCTTCAAATAAATTAATAAAATATTTACCTCAATTATATGCAAAAAAAAAAGGAAATCACTTTTTTGTAAAAATAAACTTTAAAAAAAATGCTAAATAAAATTTTCCATTGCAAAAAATTTTATTATAAAATTAATTACTGAAAGTATTGAGATTTCTAAAAATTCATTTTTTTTTTTGCAAAACATTAAAAAAAACTGTTTTGGCAAAAAATAAAAAATAGTTTCTTCTTTTTTCATTGAAAGAAATATGAATGAAACAAATTAGAAAACTGAAATAAGAATGTTCGTGATAGGAGTTAGTAAAAAAAAAAAAAAAAAAAAAAAATGAGAAAAAAATCATAAAGTAGGTTAATAATATACCCACCTATAGGAGTCTTGCACGGATGCTGAAGAAATTGAAATTTAGGTCTGCTCTCGTAGATATGCTAATGCCCTCCAGACGGTTCGCGTCCTGCTTTTGCCATTTCCTAATAGTCTGCGGTGGAAGTCGTTAACCCCTTTTTACCCTTTTAATATTACATCAAGCACTTTTCCCAGAAGTCACAGGACTTTGTAATTAAAAGTCCTGGCGCAATGTACTCTATATATAAAGATGCACCGCAAAAGGATATCATCAAACTGGCCCGTGTACTGCAATTTAAAATATAAATATACATTTACAATTATTTAAATCAAAATTGCAAATTCCATTAGGAAAATTAAATTATACAATTTTTTTTTTAATTTTATAAAATATTTTTTTTTTTTAAATAAATATGAATATATAAATATCAATTTATGTCATGGGTTAATTAATTTTTTCTTATTCATGATGTCTGACTAAAACTGCCTTTCACTACTGATTTTATTCAGTAGTTAGCTTTGTCTGACTTTAATTAACTTTTACTACTGATAAAAAATTGCAAGTTTTAGAAAAGTGAAACTAAACTATTTTCTTATTAATAAATCAATTTAAATTGTTATGTCTGACAAAAACTGATGTTTACTACTAAATTTATTCAGTAGTTAGTTTTGTCTGCCCTTAATTGACTTATACTACTCGTAGAAAAATTGCAAGAACTACAAAAGTGTAACTAAAAGTTTTTTTTTCATAAATAATTAAAAGGACCTATAATGTTAAGTCTGACTAAAACAGCCTTTCACTACTGATTTTATTCATTAGTTAGTTTTGTCTGACTTTAATTAACTTTTACTACTGATAAAAAAATTTCAAGTTTTAGAAAAGAGTAAATAAACATTTTTCTTATTTTTGTTAAATAAAAAAAAGAGCCTAAAAATGTCATGTCTGACTAAAACTGATTTTTACTACTGAATTAACTGATTAGTTCATTTTGTCTGACTTTAATTGACTTTTACTACTGATAAAAAATCACAAGTCTTAGTAAACTAAACGTTTTATTATATTAAATATTAAATAAATAATTACAAAAGTTTATATTTTTTTGGCTGACTAAACCTGATTTTTACTACTAAATTTATTTAGTAGTTAGTTTTGTCTGACCTTAATTGACTTACACTACTCGTAGAAAAATTGCAATTACTACAAAAGTGTAACTAAGAGTTTTTTTTTATTTTTCATAAATAATTAAAAGCACCTACAATGTTACGTCTGACTAAAACAGTCTTTCACTACTGATTTTAATAAGTGGTTAGTTTTGTCTGACATTAATTGACTTTCACTACTGATAAAAAAAATTTCAAGTTTTAGAAAAGTGTAAATAAACGTATTTCTTATTTTTGTTAAATAAAAAAAAGAGCCTAAAATTGTCATGTCTGACTAAAACTGATTTTTACTACTGAATTATCTCATTAGTTCATTTTGTCTGACTTTAATTGACTTTTACTACTGATAAAAAGTCACAAGTATTAGTAAACTAAACGTTTTATTATATTAAATACTAATAAATAATTACAAAAGTTTATATTTTTTTGGCTGACTAAACCTGATTTTTACTACTGAATTAACTCAATAGTTCGTTTTGTCTGATCTTAACTGACTTACCACTAATAAAATAATTCCAAGTCTTAGAAAAGTGAAATCAAACGATTTTTTTATCAATAAATAAATTTAAATTGTTATGTCTGACTAAAACTGGATATTACTACTGATGTAGAAAAATAAGAATAAAAATTACATTTACAAAGTTTAACTGCAGTTTTTTTTTAATAGTAAAATTTAAAATATATCTAGTACTACTGAACAAAAGTTACAATTATTTTACTAATAAAATAAAAAAAAAAAATATATATATATATATAAAGTAAAAAATAACTAATTATTAGTAGAAAAATTACTAATAATTTGTGAAAAAGAAACTAAATCTTAGTAAAAAGAAATTATTATCAAAGTAACTAATTTTTAGTATTATTAAAAAATTATTAAAATTATCAGTTAGTTGTTATGATTATTAGTTACCAGAAATTTTAGTTATTGTAACATAACCTAAAAGTAAATTTAACTTATAATTAGTTGTTTTAAATTGAAAGATTAATAAAAATATCATTCTTTGAATCAGTGAATAATTTTTTTGTTATTTAGTAAAATGTGGGTTTTGCTTCAGCAATTAGTAAAAAAAACTAATTATTAGTAAAGGGTAACTCATTATTAGTAAAAAAAAAATAATCAATGATTTGTAAAAAAGTAACTAATTATTAACCAAAGGTACCTAATTATTAATAAAAAATAACTAATTATTATAAAAACTATAATTATTAGTAAAAAGAAATTTTAGTTATTGTAACATAACCAAAAACTGAATAATTAGTTATTTATAACTGAAAGATTAGTAGAAATTTAATTGAAATATAAAAAAGTTGACTAATTGAATTAGTCTAATACTAATTAATTATTTACTAATTAATTCGAATACTGAACTTATTAAAATACTAATTCTTAGTAAAAAGAAATTTTAGTTAGTTTAACATAACCAAAAACTGAAATTTACTAATAATTAGTTATTTTTTAACTGAAAGATTAGTAGAAATTTAATTGAAAGAATATAAAAAATTTGCCTAATTAAATTGGTTAACAAAATTTTTTACTTATTTTACTAAAAGTGGATTTAATAAAAAATTAGTAAAAACTAAAATTAACAAAAACTAACTAAAAAAATTCGTTGTAATATTACTATTTGAATCCATAGCTGACAGTTTGCTGTCAAAATATTATTGACTAATTCAAATTCAAAGAATATTTGTCTGACATAAAATTGACCTATTCTACTGACAGCAAAAGGAAAACAATTTAAAGCATTCTGTCAGACTATAACTGAATTTTACTACTGAATATCGTTTCACGAAAACTGACAAGATTTTTTTCTTTCGAAAATTTTCTTTTTTCACTAAAACCAATTTTTACATTTTTAAATAATTATTCTATTTTTTTAAATTAAAAAAAAAATTGTTTTTCTTTTAGATCACGGATTATGGACCATTTACAAATACACTGTCATTAACTACAAATCCCCTTTTGGATGGCCATCAGAAGAAATCTCACAATGTCACGATTAAAATTTATTGACTTTCGATGGAAAAATGGAGAAATTGTAAATTTCTTTTAATTAATTTCTATTATTATAAAAAATTCAAACACGACAAGAAGTGAGGAAACAAAACAAAATTATCATGACATGATTAGAAAATGTTCATCGCAACCACCCAATAATCCTGGATAATAAATCGGAAAATGTTGAATGTCATGGCCGCAGTGACAACGACTTTACCGATACGATTAGATACATTACCAACGCCAGGCAATGGAAATACATCAAGTTCACCAAATAATGTAACATCATCAGTGCCAGCTGAAAATCCAACAGTTGAAAATTTACCAGAGAATGTAAATTTATTTGTTGTTGTTATAAAAGGTATAATAATGGGTAGTATTATAACAGCAGCGATACTTGGTAATGCATTGGTTATTGCAAGTGTTCAACGTCATCGACGATTAAAAGTATTGACCAATTGTTATGTGGTGAGTCTTGCGGCTGCCGATCTTTTGGTGGCAATTTGCGCAATGACATTCAATGCATCCGTTGAACTATCGGGTGGTAGATGGCTATTTGGAAGATTTATGTGCGACATTTGGTGTTCTTTGGATGTCTATTTTTCAACGGCATCAATTCTTCATCTCTGTTGTATTAGTGTCGATAGATATATTGCAATTGTCAGTCCATTGGAATATGGTGTTATAATGACACACAGAACAGCTGTTTTTATGCTTGGAATGACATGGCTATTGCCAGCACTCATTAGTTTTATTCCAATTTTCATGGGCTGGTATTCAACAAATGATCATCTTGAGCAAATGGCCAAAAATCCAGAGGTCAGTTTTCAAATTTTTTTAACTTTTCATTTTTAATCATTATAAAAATTATTTTTTGAAAATTTTCGCATTTGCGTTTGACAAAATTCTTTTGAAAACATATTTTTAATTTAGAAAATTTTTCATTTTTACTTAGTACACTGAAAAAAAAATTATAGCATTTAAATAATCGGTTACCTTAAAAAAAAATTCAATTTTTCTTAGGCAGACGATTTTATTGCATATTCTTGCACAAAATACACCGAAAAGTGTAGAAAAAAATTGACACCCAGAGCCGAGTAGAGGAAGACCATTTTTATGACCAAAAATCACTCAAAATCATAAAAAAGTACCCAAAAAAATTCAATTTTTCTTAGGCAGACTATTTTATTGCAATTTCTTGCACAAAATACACCGAAAAGTGTAGAAAATAATTGACACCCTGATCCGAGTAGAGGAAGACCCCTATTACCACCAAAAATCACCCAAAAGCATAAAAAACATTCTAAAAAAATTCAATTTTTCTTAGGCAGAAGAATTTATTTTATATTCTTGCACAAAATACACCGAAAAGTGTAGAAAAAAATTGACACCCTGATCCGAGTAGAGGAAGACCCTTTTTATGACCAAAAACGCATCCAAAAGCATAAAAAAGTTCCCAAAAAAATTAAATTTTTCTTAGGCAGACTATTTTATTGCATTTTCTTGCACAAAATACACCGAAAAGTGTAGAAAAAAATTGACAGCCACACGGAGAAAAAAGATTTCTTTTATAAAGTAACTTTTACTACTTTCAGAGTAAAACTGGACCAACTCGAAGTTTCTGCGCATCTCTGGCAATTTTTACTCCAAAAATAGTAAAATTTATTATTTCTGTAGTAAATTTTACTGTTTCCGTAGTAAGTTTTACTATTTCTAGAGTAAATTTTTACTATTTTTGGAGTAAAAATTGCCAGAGATACGCAGAAACTTCGAGTTGGTCCAGTTTTACTCTGAAAGTAGTAAAAATTACTTTTTCTTTTTCTCCGTGCAGATACGAGTAGAGGAAGACCCCTATTACCACCAAAAATCACCCAAAATCATAAAAAAGTTCCCAAAAAAATTCAATTTTTCTTAGGCAGACTATTTTATTGCAATTTCTTGCACAAAATACACTGAAAAGTGTAGAAAAAAATTGACACCCCGATACGAGTAGAGGAAGACGAGTAGAGGAAGTTACTAATAATTAGTAAAATTTCACTAATTGAGAAGCAAAAAGTGAGTCACTAATTCAAATTAATAAACTTTTTTACTTCAAATTTTCGGAAGATTAAATTTTATGAAAGTT